GGAAAATTGGTTGGAAAACTTCTGCAGTTAATTCTAATTTCTTGCTTGCTATGGCCAGGAGTGAATTGGATGGTAGTAGAAGCCTGTCATTACCCTGAAGTCATCTCATCAGGCGAAGAATTTGTCTCGAGGCATCAGGCTGAATGTGTTCATGGACATAAGCGATGGTTGCAGTTTGTCTTCAGTTTGAGTTCCCTTTTAGCTTAATGTACCTTTGGTTTTTTCCATAGTACTTTTCACTTTGTATCACCAACGCAAATTGTTATTTCTAATGTTGAACTGTGTCTCTCTTTCCTATACGTTTATATAAACCCCATAATTTCAGGGTGGTTTACAGTATTTTTTCTGTTTTTTTTTTGTTTGTTTTGTTTTTTAATTGCATTAGCCCATCATAGACCATTTAGAGTTTAGCCTAACATATCATGAAACTATGATATAATGCACTGATATAAAATTCAGTAGCTGAGTTATTTCACGAGAAACGATGCTTACGTGTGGTTGATTGATCGTGTTGGCTAGAATACAATATTTGGTGAATCAAGAATTATTCCATTGCTTCTGTAAGAACATAATCTCTAGAGGCAGGTGTCTACACTGTCATGTACATTACTGAATTAAGGGGTCTGTTTCACAATTGAGAAATGGGATGTGTTCCTGGCTGCAATATCTGATTATAGGTTCCTGCTAATGGAAACACATGAAGGAAATAACAGGGGCAAAGGTAGAAAATCTGGTATCATGCTGTAAAGGTATATTTAAGTGACTCATTGGAATTCCTCCTTTTATTCAGAAGTAGAGACATGTGCTACAACATAAGTTAACTTCCCAGGATGTCAATCTCCATTATATAGTTCATCTATAAGAATGTAAGTATAGGCTCGATTGCCTGTCTCTGTTTCTGCACTTTACATGAAGTTTGTCTTATTGAGAACATATGATATTTGTCCTTTTTGGAGTGGGTTTTTTACTAAGCAAAATGGTCTCTGGTTTGGACAGCTTTGTTGGAAATGGTAGAATTTTCCTTCTTGGTAAGGACTGTGTAGTATTCAATGGAGTAAATATACCACAATTCCTTTATCCATTCCTCTTTTGACAGATATCTGGGAAAGAGATCTGGTTCTTAATAGGGTCAACTGAAGAAAATATATCCAATGTAGGTGTACCTGAGCTGAGAGTTTTATCAGAACTCACACTGAAATTCCACTCCTCCATTCTAGTTTTCCTGAACTGTGGTGGTTGGGGAACAGGTAGAGTGCCAGTAGGTAATGTGGAAATGCCATGGAGGTGGAGAGTAATTGATAGTATCTGAGTAATTTGTTCACTAAATTCCACTGGATTGCATGAATGTGGGGATTCTAAATAAGAGAATAATCTGTATTAATAGTATCATAGCAATTGTGAAGACTCTTTGGTTAGCGGTAAGCAAATCTCTACCCAACCTGAGAAGGAGTTCATCAAAACCAGAAGGTAGTAAAGTATCCTCTGAACTGGTAGAGGGTGGGTGAAGTCAATCTGCATAGCGCATGCATGCATGCTCGCCACTGTGTTCACATTGACCCTGTCACATCTTCAAGATACATATATCTGTCCAGAAGTTGTTAGACAGTCCAACGTGACAAAGATGCTTTCATTTATCACCATGTATCTTCCACACCTTAAAGTTCAGGTGAGAATTCTGGCTTGATATCCCAGAGGAAGAACATTGCAAGATGGCTGTTGGGGCAGTGCTGAATTAATGTCCTATTTTGGATCTTAGATGCAAAGTGTAGCTTTGTGTAGAGATGAAATCTTACACTTATTTTTTATTGCAAGCATAATAAACAAGGAATGCAGTCACAGAACAGAGAGCAAAACTATGTTCAAAAATTTATTTTGAATGTTACCAATACTTTGAAAATATTGTCCTAGGGTATTTGTAAGATATTATTTATTACTGATGAATATTTTTCCTTACCCTGCTATACAATAGTGCTGGGCCCTGATGAGCAGTTTAATATTCATGTTAATAAAAGAATAGGCAGCACTTTGTGACTAACGTTCACCCATAAAATGGCAACATAAATAGTTAAATATGCTACCAATTTTTCCATAGGTGGTGTTTTTATTTTCTTTTTTTAAAACATTATTTCATTTTATGACACAGTTCCATAGGCTCTGGGATTCTCCCAAGCCCTCCCCAAGCCCTCCCCCATATTAATTTCCGCCATATTATTACAGCAGGACAGCTCATAGCTAGTCATGATTCCATCATTGCGGGCATGGAGTATGCAGAGTCCAGCATCTTATTGTCCAGATAAATTCAACAGTTTCATTGGGAGACCACCCTTGATCTGAAAGTAGAGCTGGCAGAATATCCCCTCCAGTGAAAGGCAACAAAACAAATTCAACAACAGGAAGAAACATGGAAATTTACAACATGATGAAGTAATTGACATGCTACTGAGTGACCAATGTGTTAGAAAATGCAAGTTCTTAACCACATCCTGTAACTACTTCATTGACATCTCAATTATACTTTATACATAACAGACTGCTATAAACCTTAAAGTGGCTATAGGGTATTCTTCAGCTAGCTCATGGTTTTTTTTTCCCCTTCACATTTATATTTAGCAGCTTAAAGTATTCAAGTGTGATTTTGTGTTTTTATTTTCAATCACAGAGGTCCTATTCAACTCTTCGGGGCAGATGTCTGTACCTATGTGCCCAAGAGAAATAGTTCTAGACTTTTTTTTCAGTTGTTAACATTTAAGATGATTTCAGGTTAAAAATACCCCACTACTGACAAACCCTGGGGAGCAGGCTATTTCCTCCAGAGTGCAGGAGAACAAGCCTTGCCATTCTGTTTCCTTAGTCATTACAACTTTTAAACTTGCACTGAATGTAGGAAAATGGGTGTAGTCATGGACTATTGCCCCAAAACCATCCCACTACTTTCCTGCCCTAGAATTTAGCCCCAGGAAGCAGTGCCTACTTAACGTTTAAAATATCTGGGAAAAACCTTCCAAGTTGTACAGAATAACTACTCCCACAGGACACCTCAGTACAACATCCAGCCTGCACAAACACAGTCACGGCCACCTGTTATCCAGTCTGCATTCCGGCAGCTGACCAGCAAATTCAGGTTTACTTCCAAGAAAGTATATTTGCAGTGTGAATTTATATCCAATTTCTCTCTGTTGTGTGCCTATTTTGTGATATTAGGAATACCGGTGGAACATCAAAAAAGCATTTGTTGAATGGAAATCAGGAAACCAGGGCAAGGACTCTGTGAATCTGCAAAGCTTTGCTGAGCAGAGTAGAATTGAATCCAGAGCAACTTCCTATACCCCCTGGAGGTGCTGCTTGTCCCAGAAGCCTCCTGGGAGGGAAGGGATGGCCATGGGGGAGAGTGGCTACAGAGAGAGGCCCAGCATGACAGGGAACAGAGAGGCTAGCATCCGTGCCTGCAGGTTAGCAGTGGCCATGTGCTGCCCTTTGGCCTCTATCAGGCATCAGAGACCTGAGGGGGCCGATCTCTGTAGGATAAAGGAACACACAGGGTCTGCTGTGGATCTCTGCTACCTCTTTGGCCTCTACAGGACCCAGTAACAATGATGTGAATTGGTGATCTCTGGGCCCTGCACAAAGGTTTGGATGAGAGGGGCCTGTCCCTTGAACCTGGCCTGTGAGAGACCCCTGCATGTCTGTACATGCTATATTGGGATACCAAGTGCCTCAGGGTCCCCATCCTCTCTTTCCCAATCCCCATCCTCTCTTTCCCACTCCCCATCCCCACTCCATGCATCTGCAGGATCTGGGGATATGGGTTGTTCCCACCAGTCAACGAGACAACCTCCATCTACTTATAGCTCCCCAAGTACCACTTGCATCTTCAGAGTAGAGGTAGCCAGTTCCCAGGGTGTCACACAGCCAGGAAGCTGTTTCTCATGACAGGCAGGCAGGACTTAGTCGCCTGCTTCCCATGGCTCTGACTTGTGCCCTTGGTAAAACCACTGCCGCATGGACAGCCGCCCATCCCTCCAACCCTGCGCATCCCAGGTGTGTCATGGCAGCAGACTGGCCCCCAAGGTCAGAGGTGGATAATCATGTCTCCTGTGACCTGTATTTATTTGTTTTATGCTCCTTGTGGCTGGATTCCTCCTACTGTGGAAACTGCCTCCCAGCACCAATATTGTTTCAATTTAGCAACGATTAGCTCCAACTCATCCAGTGTTCAGGGTCAGCAGTGAACTGAATAACTGCTGACTGAATGAACGCCAAGTACAAGAAGTGTAACAGTGTCACTGCCTCGCATCCCATGGTGGTAATGCTTATCAAACAATTTCTGGTTAGATTGCCAAAGGTCTCCAATGAAGAAGCCCTGGGGAATAGATGGAGACCTGAAGACTGCAACATTTACATACACATGGGATGTCACACTCCACCCCGCATGCAGCCATAGACTCAATCTCAATCTCTGAGGGGAGCTCTGACCTGCCCAATGGGAGGGCTGGGCTGTTTGCACCTCACAGGGCGCACGTCCCAGATACACGTGAGGTAGGACCAGGAAAGGCAGCCCAAGAATCTGTTACCTTCAGGTCCAGGCCAGTACTTGCCACTCCCAAGGAATATTCCTGAGGGTTTTGAAAAGCCACAAATGCTATGGAAGTGAGGGGCTGAGATGTTTGCTTCTGACTGGATCCTATTGGCTGTGCAGCTCGAGGTGTGCCCAGGCCCAATGGCTACAAAGTGTCAGGGGCAGTTCATACAGTGTTGAGATGAGGGAGAGCAACACGTGAGCTGCTGCTTACGTGAGCTGCTGCTTTCGGGAGCTGCTGGGCGTGGCCGCGGGGGCTTCTTGGCCATTGGAGCACCTCATCAAAGGCCATTGTCTGCAGCTTGGTACTTGACCAGTAGACACCGAAGAAGAGGAGCAGGAAGCTGTTCCCTTAGAGCCAGTGTGGTCTGCAGGAGAGAGGAGGCCTTGGACTTCACATCATCTTGTGGTGCCAGGACGCATGATGTGGGCGCAGAAGGCTCAGGCTGGTGAGAAGCAAGGTAACCTTCTTCCCTGTAAAAGCTGTGAGCCTGCCCATGGCAGCCAGTGTCCCCCAAGGTGCTCTCAGTACCTCTGCTCCCGCAGGACACAAGGAACCTGGCTGTGTGATTGTGCCATCCCTGAAACAGGGGCCCGCAGGCTGTCCTGGGAGAGTCCCAGCATGGGCCCATGGAGTCTAGGCTCTGCAGGACTGTGTGAGTTTTTCTGTGGAATCCCACGTGTGGGGGTTGTCCTGTGTGGCCTGGCCTGAGCTCAAGCCTCCAGGTCCTGCCTCCTCCAGAGTGGGGTGGGGAAGACACAGAAAGCCCAGGTTGGGGGTGGGTGGGGAGAGCTGCATGACCGCCATTTCTGGTGGGTCTCCCACTCCAGGTGCTTTCCTACTTTGCCAAAAGAATGCAGAAACTGTTCAACTTACCTTGCATTTGCTGTTCACTTGACATAAATGTACATTAGAGGCCATGTGTGTTGAGTCGGGTATCCCTCAACAGACCAGCCCCTTGCTGGGTATCCATCCCTCCCTCAGCCGACCAGACTTGCCCTTTGGCCAGGAGCCTGCTAGAACCAAATCTCCCGTGGGGGACATGTGCCCTGTGCTCGTGCACAACAGCAAAATAAGTGGGCACTTGGAGCCACTTGCAAGTCTCCAGGTTTCTTTCAGAGGTGAGAGGGGGACCTGGAGATGCAACTCCTGACTATGTTACCGTGATAATATTGTTTCTTAGAGTAAGAGTGTGAGCGTACAGTAGCTCAATGTGCGTCTGATATGATCGCTGCTTCGTCCTGAGAGGCAATCAGAGATCGTGGAGGTTACGTGTGTGCGTGGCTTCACAGACAGGCCTATTAGGCTGTTGTCATTGGATTCCTAATACGATGTGTAAAGGGTCAAGAAAACACAAGGCAGGTGACCAGGGTGGGGCTTTTGTGTACTGGATGTTCACATCTGAGCCTAAGGGATGTGACCTTGTCGACCTCGCTCATAAATGACAGGTATCTTGGAAGTGAGCAACAAGTGGTGTCAAGTTCCCCTGCTGATTCTGTCAGGCTTGGTGGGTCCCTCCACGGAAGTACTGATGAGAGTGCCATTGAGAGGTGGGAAGAAAGGTGCTGCCAGTGTGGAAGTTGGGGGAAGCGTCCCAAGAGTAGAAACCCTCTCCAGGAAGACTGAGTGTGCAGTGTGGGGACAGTCGCTTGTTCCCGTTGGCTTTCACCCTTGCTGTTCCTGAGCATTCTACACACTTGACTGTCACCAACACAGAGGCAGAGTGTTGAGTGAGAAGCCTCACTTCCAAGAAGCTATGAGACTTCTGTATCTCTATTTGTTGGGAATTGTTTGTTAATATGAATCTTCATTGTCAGTTTTTCTTGCATTTCACTGGTATCATGAATAGTGATAATTAGACGAGAATCTTTATGCACAAACACATTAAGAGCAGGGTAAATATGCAAGTGGAGACAACGGCTGTGTTTACCCTCAGGGAATTATGAGCAATGGATCTGAGTTTTAATTAATTCTCTGTATTCAAACTATTGTGCTTCCTATAAGCAAAACTCTTGTGCACCCCTCTAACAGAGACTGAATAAACCTTAGTGTGACTAGCCCTTTTTCATCTCTGTCTCCAATTACAACTGACTTTTCCTACATTTGTCTGATGGTTCTGTCTCCTGCTTATGGATCTTGGATGGCAGGAATTATCTGTCCTTCCCCTCGGTGGTGTGCACTTCTCTCTGTCTTCTTGTTCCTCCCCTGCTGTCACTGAACATGAATGCCCTTTCTCTAATTCCGCAACGTAGCACAAAGCACATTTCTTCTTATTGATGTGTCAATTTTCTCCTTATCTGGAAGTTCTGCTCAGAATTTGCAAGGCCACTTTCACCATTTATGAGTTTTTATCACAGCACACTGGAAGGAGACACTGTTCTACATGCCGCCTTGTTTGTTTTCTAGATCAGAAGAACAACCTATCTTTTATCACTAAAGCTGATGGAACAAGTGCCCGGAAATCAGGTATACATTTAACATTGTAACCAGTGTTTCAGAAAAAGTGAAGCAGCAGCATTTTAATGCTCATCTCACATCTGTGATAATTTTGGGGTGGAATGCAAGACCAGAAAGGAACAGTCCTCTGTGGGTGTCTAAAGGGATGGCCATGAGGCAGTTGAATTAGGACAGAGATCTAAATATTTCATTACGATGACTTCTCATGAGTGTGGCCACGAGAGGCCAGTGGCAATGTGAATGCACAACAGGTTTCTGGGACTGACCTAGGTCACCTTGGACATACTGTAAACCTTTAGGGAACTGAAGCAAACTGCATGTGATCATGGGATTCTCTGGGGAGTGGGTCCACAGCTTTCATCATATTCTCGAACATAAAGAGTCAGGGAGCCCTCCTGCTAACAACACGATGTCCCCTGCGCCCCCCTCCAGTCGTCAGCTGCAGATGGTTCCCCAACAATTTCAGAGGGCAAGTAACTGGACTCTGAGACCTCAGGCCTAGATCAGCTGTAAGCTGCTGGAGCCGAGACAAGGCTGTGAGTGAGAAAGTGCAAGTCGAGAGTGCTTGAATCATGGTTTGGGCTTCAGTGGTACGACTCTGGCTGCGAAGTGTACTGTTAGCATTTCAGGGAGTCTCAGGAAAGCACAGCAGAGGAGCCTGTGTGAGCTCTGCTGTCAATGGCTGAAACCAGTCATTCTGGGAAACATCGAGGAGCAGGTGGTGTTTAGCACCTACTGACTATTGCACCCGTGGGGATAGATGCAGGGTTGAGGGAGCACTGCCCCAAAAGAGAGACGGGGCCGTGTCAGAGGTGCAAGATTTGAGACAGACTTGGAGACACAACACCAGCGCTCCACATGAGGACACTGGAGGATCTTTGCTGTTTGGCAATGGCAGTGGCCAACGTCACTAGGACTAGACCTGGCCTTTTCTGCCTGTGCCCTTATCAGTCCCAAGATCTCTCTGCATTCCTTTTTGTTTTTCTCATCTGCTGGATACTGCACATGACTCAGTGCTTCCCTCTGCATCATGTCTGTCCACGCCTATGACACCTGCTGTGGAATGTCCTCTTTACTAGACTGCTTTTTCCATTAGCTTTGGAGTCATTGATTTGCATCTGTGGAAAGGCCTCCTATATCCTTTAGCCATTCGTCTCTCTTTGGTGAGATTTTGGTTTGCTTTGCCATGTTTATATTCGGATGTGTGCATGCATGTGTATGGATACATGTATTTAGATTCCCAGGAACAGTGTTTGAGAATACCTCTTACTTCACATTTGATTTTTAAGACATCTGTGGACAGCACAAGCCAGTCATGTTCACCAGCCTGCTGCCTTGGGGTATTACGCGATGGCTGGCAGGGTACAACCTGACACAGCCATTCAGGCTGAGGTTCAGCCCGAGAGACCCACATGATGTACACATAGTGAAAGGATGGGGTGGCAAAATGTGCTGGCTGAGGACTGTGGCACTGTGCTGAAGATCCATCTTGGGGCCCGGGATGTTGTTTTGGAAGGCCTTGGTGCAAGGGTCTGTTCCAGTAAAGACACATCTTCCTGCTAATGTGCTCTCTAGGACACAATGTCTGGATTAAATATCTGGCTCCCTATTGGCCAGAAGGGAGAATCAGGTGGACTTCTAGGTTCTTGATTTAACACAAGCACAACTCCAGCATTTTTTAGTATTTGTGCAGTGAAACAGTAGATGCATAATCTCACTGTTTCTCTTCTCTTTGTCTTTCAATCTCCATCACTTATTCCACATACATAACAAGCTCAACACGAAATTTTTAAAGAAGAGAGAAGAGAACGTAGCCAGAGGGTGAACATAGCTTTCTGTAAGGTAATCCACAAAGACAGTACAACAAAAAATGGATGGCATTTTTCAAACTGCTAGATTCTACATGCACGGAAGAACCAGTGCCCTCTGACCCCTGATGGGATGGCAGGGATGGTCATTGTGTGGCTGCTGACCAAGTAGCAGGCATGTAGCTGGATTTCCCTGGCCAGAATAACAAATTTTAACAAATGTGCTACTTATCATTGCAATCGGTCTTCAGAGTAGATCTGCAACTTCTCAGTCATGACATTCGCAACCATCTGGACTTACCTAATTATTGTATGAGAGAAGCATCAAGACTGACACCTCCCATGAGGCCCATGAGAATGTGCCTACATCTCCTAACTGTGGTTTAGTATACCAGTCCATCAGGGCTTCACGTATATGCTTAGTTTGGCCCAGTGAATTCTTAAAGGGATCTAGTTGGACAGATGTAACATTCAGTCATATGTGCAATTCTTTGATGAGTGCTGCGTGAGCCTGGGATGTCCACAGGTGCTGTTGGAAGATAGGCAGCCCCAGAAGAACTGAAGCTAGGTAGAGACGGCTGACAGGCATGTATCATAGCTGGTTATGTAGGCTGGCCAGCCCCATTTGTCCATCACGTGTGTGTGGGGTGTCGACACCTATGGTAACTGGATAGAAAGGTCCAGCAAGCAGCCTTTAGCCACCATCACGTTCTTCCACTCTGGGAATGGACTGTCACTCAAGGCCCCCTGATGGACAGACTGAACCCCTGCTTGTCTGCGTGCCTCCTCTGCTGGTGGTTTCTCACCTGTTAGGCAGTAGAACTCCCCAGCTGGGCGAGAATCTCATTTGGCATCTCCAGCAGATGACCTGTGCAGCTAAGGGGATGAGACCTACATGTGTTCCCTAGTGGACCAGTTGGCCCCTTTGCCCAGCTAACTGCTGGAATCAAATGCAGAAATGTTGTTCTCTGATGGGCTCCCACAGGAAAAGAAACAAGTAATGGCGTGCAGAGTGGGGCCAGGAGAGCATGTCAGGGTGTCCTGAGTACTTGGAAGAGGCACGCAGGAGGGGCAACTACAGTTCCTCAGGAGGTTGTGATGCTCATAAGATAAAAGAGCAGCAGAGGGTCACAGACTTCATAGGCAATTGTGGTGCAGGTGGCTACCTTCTCAAAGGCATTTGTAGACCTCAAAACTGACATACCATGGTGACTATACTTTCGTAAGCAGATATTGTCATGTACATTGTTTGCTAGGTCAAGGGTCTGATCTGTGATAACTAATACGCAGAGTACACAAATGTACTTTATAGGAGTGAAATTGACTGCTTGGGGTTTGATTATTGCTCAACCTTTGTCTCTACACCGGATGAACTGAGACGGTTTGTGGTTTCTCTGTTTTGTTTTTGTTTTTGCTTTCCCCACTTGTTGATATCTTTATCTCTTGGATTACTAAGACTGATTTCCAGGGGAAATGAAAATATGCCATTTTCATTGGAAAAATGGGGGACAAATAAGGAAGGAAGGAGTGGTTGTGTAATGTGAGCCCAAGGAAGGCAGGGTGGGAATTATTGTCAGGCTACTACATCTGTATCACAAAATACATGAAATGTGGTTATTTATAAACAATTTTAACAAGAAACATGAAGGATTAAGGGCATGTAGTGTAGATGGTCAGGGTAAGCCTTCTTTGTTCTGGATCTTTGCTTCTGAATAAGTAATGTGACCCTGTTTACTTGTCTCATAGATGAGAGCAATCTGGAAAATCGACAGGAAGTTCTGGCCGGATCTTCTGGTCATTGTGCTGTGACTGATGAGTCCCTCGGCTCCGGTAGTTTTGAGACAAGCACCACCGCACTGAGAGGTGCACAGAGTGCCATTATTGATTTGGAAGAAATTGAAGTGTCTGAAGTGTCGGGATCCTTCCCGGTAAGATAGAATTTGGTAGATTCTCTTATTCCGGTGTTATGCTTTATTAATCCTCCTACCTAAAGTGACCTGCATGGGGGATACAATGTCACATTGAAGCCTCACACCCGATGTATAGTTTCTGCTTTCATAATGTTTGTAGTAATGCACTTTATGAAATTTAATATTTCTTATCTGGTTTTGTAGTAGTATTTATATGATGCCTTGATGGTGATAATTAAGTTTTTTGCACAAAAAAGAGCTGAAACATAAATTAGTTGCTTATAGCTAATGGAAAGTATGACTTAGGAAAGGAATAGTTTTCTTTTTGTAATTCTTTCATAATTTGTGTTTTGGAAGTTTTTAGTACAAGCTATTGTTGTTGTGATAAGCAAAATTGTTCAAAGACCTCTGTCGTGGATTCAATATACCAAAGTTTGACATCTCTTCGTCACTTTGCTCTTCGTTTTCACAGCCTTTTTAGCACCTTTATCTTCTGGTCTTTTTCCATGCTTAAGTGTCCTTATTCTCATAGTTTACTGTCTATAGTATCTATTGTTTATTTCTGCTCTCTGTCTCATGTTCCTGCACCTACACTGTCATTCAACGCAGCACTCATTCTCTCATTTGACAGTCCAGCCTAAAACTCAGTCTTTCCTATTTGATGGTGCTATTTTCTCCCCATTATAAAATTTGTCACTCGGGAGCATGGACACAAACATTTTTTACCATCTTTTCAAAATTTTTTTTCTGCTTTCTTGATTTTGGTTTTCTAGAACAATATGACGTTCTATCAATGAACTTCATGTAACAAGTGTTTAACATTGAATAAACATTAGCATTGTCACAAGTAATTAAACAATACAGAAAGATCAATTATTGGTTTTGACTCATCATTGCACATGTGACCTATTTAATGTATGACAAACTAGTGTGGAAAAAAATTGTTCAAAATTTTCCTAAACATGAATCTTGTGATTATATCAGATTCCCTACTCAATTTTTGTTACGGCAGAAGAAAATTTCTACTTTTCTTGCAGGTGATTGATCTCTGTGATGATATCCCTAACACTAGAGCATCAGACCTGAATAGTGTCATTTTAATTGATACTGTTATTGCTGTATGGAATGATGTTGTCTACATGAATGAAAGGGTTCACTTCTCCGTAGATGTTATATCTGAAGGTATGATTTCAATTTTTTACAAAAGTGACCTTTTTTCATTTTATTATTTAAAACTATTTCCATCACTTCGTTTATATGTCTATATGCTCATTTTTATTCATTGTATTATTTTTAAGATTTGTTTTTATTGGAAAGCCAGATACACAGAGGAGGAAAGACAGCAAGGAAGATCTAATGTCTGATGATTTACTTGCCAAGAGGCTGCAATGGCCAGAACTAAGTCTATCCAAAGTCAGGAGCCAGGAGCTTCTTCCGGGTCTCCCACGTGGATGCAGGGTTCCAATGCTTTGGGCCATCCTCGACCGTTTTCCCAGGCCACAAGCAGGGAGCTGGATGGGAAGCAGGGCTGCTGGGATTAGAACCGGCGCCCATATGGGATCCCGGGCGTGCAAGGCGAGGACCTTTAACCACTTGCGCCACCGCGCCGGGCCCGACTATATTCTTTTGAATGTTTATTTACTGACAGGATCCTAGCACTAGCACAATGTGTTTAGCATACAAAATCCAGAAAATGACTCCTAAAGGGTTGAACAGCACACATGGAATTGAAAATAATATATGATCCTAGGTAATTATGTATTTACTACTAGCATTTTTAGGCATGAAAGCAGTTAGCACACATCTAAATATGTCTTTCATTGATTGAATAATCTAATTGATCTTTAAAAAGATTTATTTATTATGTTGGAAAGTTAACATTACAAAGACAGAGAGAGAGAGAGAAACCCTTCATTTGCTTGCCCACTTCCCAAATGGCAGCAGCGTCAGAGCTAAACCTATCAGAAGTCTTAAACCTGGAGTACCATATGGGTACAGAGACCAATAGACATGACCGTCCAGTAATTCTTGCCAAAGCCATAAGCAGGGAGCTGTGTAGGAAGAGAAACAAGCAAGATATGAACTGATGTCCATAAGGAATGCCAGTGCCAAAGGCAGAGGCTTAGTGAACTATGCAACTGAGTCAGCAACTTACTTGGTAATCTAAAACAATAATCATGTAGGTATATATGGAAGGTATGTGAATTAATAGAGATTCTATAAAGAGATGTTTCAGGAGCAGGTTGTGACATGTTGGGAGTCTCTCTGAGATCCACATTTGACTTGAAATGCACAGTTATTTCTAAGGGTTGAACTCTGCCCAGCACTATCTTCTTGAAGATTGGTGAACCTGATGCAGCTGTCATGAGCCTGAAATACAAAGGTTGCATGAGCTCATCCCAGAGACCAGCCTTGCATTTGCCTACTCTCAGATTTCTAAGCAGGATTCAGGCTTTGGCTTTGTTGTACAAACCTCACAGTGTCTCTTTGGTTGAGAAGACAATGTGTCCCACAAGGATGGGGTCAAGAAAGTGGATAGGAGGAGGACATTGTAAAATGCTGTCCAGAGGGGCGTTAGAATTGGAAGAGGTTAGGTTCGAGCTGAAAGTGATGGCTGATGAACAGGCTTGTTTGAAAGAACTGAGAGGGACAAGTAATTGTCATGTATTTGCATTGAGCCTTGGGAAGGAGGGAGCTGTGAAATGAAATGTGGAAGAAGCAGCAGAGCCAAATGCAGTGAAAGAGAAACTGAGAGCCCAAGAGGATCAGCAGTTTGAGATTCCGAACGGCGAAGGTTACAGCTGCACACTCTTTAACACAGAAAGCCAATTTCAAGCACATGCTCACACCTTTGTAGTTAACTGCCTCTTTGAAATGGTTGGCAACGTGGTCATTCATTTGTTTAATAGACTCCGGATGGTATCCAAATGTGGCTACGAACTGAACTGTAGTGTTCTCTTCTCACTGTTTTCCCAAATTGAATTTATTAAGTCAGTGCAGCACAAAGGGGATGCAAGGCATGATAATGGTGCTTGTAAGTGAAAGGTTGCAAAGGTGTCCGTCCAAAGTCTGCAATGTAATCTAGGCAGAACGTTTGCAAGCTCCTTCTCAACGTTAGGGCACTGATAAAACAAGCAGGTGAGTCCATTGTGATTTCAGTAAGAGATCTGAATGTATATTGTATCTGAACAATATCTGATGTATCTCCATAACTCTTGTAGGATTTGTGCCTTATAAGGGAGACTGGTTGGAGGTTGAGTATTCAATTCAACCAGGCACCTCCATAATCAGAATACACTCAGTGAAGCCCACTACGTGTAAGCATCTTGAAGAGGTAACTTATTTACATTCTGCACTTGATGTTCCTTGTTATCTATGTTTCCTAGTTTGTGTGCTGTGATATTTGAACATTCTACTGTTTTAAAAGTATAGTTTAGTCTCCTTTTGAGAATAACAACTTCAAGAAGTAAATGCAAAACTCATAGAATCATGTATACCTTCTATGCGATTAGCAAACTTTGCTGTGTAGTTCACATACTGTTCAGAGGCTAGTAAAATGTTTCAAGAGAAACACTAGGAAGTGTAATTTGTGTGTGAGAATTTTGTTGTGAAAAGTTGAATGTAGTAGTCTGTCTCTTCTGTCCACACAGAGTGCTCTATGTGATTTGAGGAGTGTAGCTGGAAAGCAGTAGAAAGTTCCTAAAATCGTGATCAATGTACACAGTGAGAAACAGTGAGAGCGGAGTCTCTCAGGGCAGTCCTGGGTGCTTTACCCAGAGGTCCTGAATTACCCGTGAAGAAGTGAGGTTGGTCCCACTTGTGTTTCCAGAGCATCCCTGGCAATGATAGGGTGCCAGCGAGAATGGGAATTCTGATGGGGATGGAGAGACTTCCTGGAAAGAGCCGGAGTGAGCAAGTGCAAGCAAGGTTGCAATATGGTATGGTTCTGATAGTTTCTTTCCTTTCTCTCTACAGGCCCGTGTTACCAGTGTGGATGGAAGATATGGGGTGATAGATGATAGTTTCCTTTTCACCTTAGATACAGTGATATGCCCTAAGGGATATGTGCCTCAAGTCCACGATGTTGTCAGTGTGGACATCGTGGAGAGTGATCAGAAGCAGTATCTGTGGAGAGCATTTGCTCTCATGCCAATCCAAACATCATCGTAATCACAATGTATTTTTTTCCTGTGTCCACTCTTATTCCTGAGGGCTGTAAAGGGCATGGTCCCTTGAAAACTTCAACTTTGCCTTCCAAAAAATGTGAGTATAATTTTTGCGGTATCAACAATGCAAATAATGGTTAGTTCATAAGGGCCCTGAACCCACTGTAGCAGAGGCCATTGATTTATTAGCAAACATGAGCTGGAGAGTTGCAGAAAGAAGTTGCAGAAAATCCCGTAAAATTATAATTTCATTTCCTGTAAGATGTGCCTAGAATTGGATTGATTTATACAGAGCCTTGCTAACTTCCTTGAAGTCAGGATTTTAGGTAATGAATTGGCTTCCAAAAGCAGCAGCATGATAATATACATTTCACTGCTTTGATATTTGCAATTAACCTTCTCTATGAACCCACAATTTGCTTTATGCCCAATTGTTTTTGTCCATGGTATCTTTCATCTTTCATCAATGGCAAAATTTGATGGTATCTATTGTTGCTGTAGCTCCTGTACTAAGCCAGTAGGTAGCTCCATAACACAGCATACTTTAGGGTCTGGGTTTTGCTTTGTTAAACTCTCTAAATCTTTGAGTGTATCACATTTTAGAATCTAGCTTTTGTTGTTGTTCATGATGATGGTGATGATTAACCCATCATGGAACACATAGCATTTTGCCTGAGATAGTAGGAAACTGAAATTTAATGTAATGAAAGTAAATTCAGTACACAAGAGACCGCAACAGCTTTCTCTTGTTAGCTGTCATTAACCATTTATTTGTTTGAAATAACATTTTTGAAGAATCTCTAATGAATGTACATTGCTTCTGTAATAAAATACTAATACTTAGTTGTGGGTGTTTTCTTCTCCCAGCTTCAGCATAGATAGTGCTTGAGAGGGTGGCAACACACAACTGAGGAAATAAGAAGTGAGACAGACACGAGGTAAAGATCACAGAAGAGCAGGGCTGCCAGAGTGAAACTGTTCCATGTTTTCTTAAACTTCCGGTGCAATCAAATTGCAGACATCTTGAGGCACAATGTTTGATAGTTGTGTGGTAGAGCGATGATAAGCAGCCAATGTGTGATGATCAGGAAGCAACAGTGTGAATGAAGTGCAGATGTCAGTAAAAAACTATCTCAAGTGTACGATAATTCCAAGTTTGTGGTTTGTCCAATGGCCTTGGACCATTGTCCAACTGCAGATTCTTGCCCACAGGCCTTAACCTTGGTTTGGCCTGTGTGCAATTGTGCGTCATTGCCTGCCGAGTTTGATCTTGGTCTCTGGCACTAGCAGTCTGTGAACTCAGCATTCCAGACACATTTTCCCTGCTCTTTCTCATCAAGTTGCGTTGTTATATTTTATAAGCCACCTGCGGCAATGTTTTCATTAACACTCAAGTGGTTGTTTAACCTGTGTGTCACAAACGAATAACAGGAATATATTCCTGCCCACAGAACAAGGATATAACCTGCTGCTACTGAAAACACTAGAAAGTGCTTATGTGGTTCATGCCTCAAATGTGGAAGGACTTCTCTCAGCTTGTGGATTCCAAGTGGGGCCTTCGGGCCTGGTGGTGCAAATGGGAAATGGGAACTCAGTCTCTGTCTATGAGTCCCCTTGGGGTTGAGCAGGGAATGATGCCAGAGGCTCCACCCCTGCTGTGTATGCATAGATTTTGATCTCTTGGTGAAGTGCAAGGTCGTCACAAAGAAATTACATGCCTGATTTCAATACTTTGTACCCTAGATACCTTGAATTCAGCTTACCGTTGACTTTGGAATTTGCTTAATGAGCAAGGCCTGCCATCTGTGATTTCTGAGTTTCAGTGAGAAACATAATGCATAAGCATCATTTTAAAAAAAGAATTATTTTCAAATGAATTGAATTGCCCCCACCTCACCACAGTATCTGCTCACGTGTAGTTCCCTAATCTGTGTATGGAATCTTATTTGGAAGGGAGCAAAGCATGGCTATCTTCTTAAAATTCCAGCTAAGAGAGACAGGAGATCTCTTCACCCTGTATGATAAAAGTTTTCAAAGACAGGGTTATTGCAAATGCAGTGAGTGGTACAGAATATGGTGAGCAGTACTCCCACAAGAGGTTTTGCAGAAAGAGAGGCTAATCTGTACACACAGAACACAGGGGAGTGCACCATGACAGGAAGGAGCCCAGGTTCAAGATTCCTTAGCTGATCTGCAGGATTGAGATCTCACAGGCTTCTAAAGTCTTGAACACTGTTCTGATTTATGCCGTTTGGAAGCCTCTGCATTCTCCAAAACTCAGAGCTGTAACAGTGAGATTGCATCAGTGCTTAGTCATGCAGATTATGAAGAAAACGTCAAAGAACCTTGAAACACGTGACTTGCTATCTCTGTGTGCACTCACTGTCTGAATTGTGATCAAAACACTTGAACACTTCTGGAATACCACAGTGCCCCCTAAAGTGAAATGCTAAAAACTAGCCCAGGTTTCCGTTAAAATAATGTACGTGTTGATCTCAGTCTAGAGTGAGCACAAAGTTCTGCATCATTATTAAACAGCTACCAGGTGGCACAAACTACTGCTAATGGATCACCTTAGGCTGGGCTATGGCACTAACAGGCAAGTGAGGGAACCCTGGCTGGGGGCAGATTCTGTGGGTGCTCGTGGGGCCTGATTGGATGTGGGAAGGCCTGGATTGGGCCTTGGCACCCACTGAGCCATGTGAGAGCTGGGTCTGGGGATGGGCCAGGTGGAGCTGGGCTGTAGCATCCAACAGTGAGAGCCCATATGGATGTGGGCCAGTCATCCAATGCCACCGAACATGCAGGACAGGAGGTGGGCCAAGTCAGGCTGGGCCAAGAACCCACCAGTGTGTACGGGAAGGTGACCTGATAGAGGAGCATGGAGAATTCCTCTGTGAGGATGCAGTCCATGCTGGTGAACACAATAACTGAAGATGGAGGCAGCCCAGGCCAGGCCAGGTTACAGTACTCGCTGGTATGCATGTGGTTCAGGTCTGGGGGCAGACGGGACTTGGCCAGTATGTAGCACCCATTGGCAAATGGGAAACCCAGGACAGGGTGTGTGACAGGCTGGGTTGGGCTGTAACACCAGGCAGTTCACATCAGGGCTAGGGCTGGGACTGGGAGCTGGTTGAACTGGGCGAGGCTGCAGCATCTGTCAGCACGAGCTGGGACTGGGGGCAAGCTTGTTGAGCCACACTGCAGCACCTACCAGCAATTGTCAATGTGAGGCAAGCCATTACAGACTGGGCTACAGCTCCCATCAGCATGGGTAACAACCAGTGTGGGGGTGGCCTGTGGTCCCTGTGGGAGTGCTACAGGGGCTTGCTTCTGAGTCATCGCTCCCACTGGTTAGCAAGAGAGCCAAGGCTGATGACGGATCAGGCTGGAAAAGGCGACAGCAACCTTTGACCTGCATGTGAGATGGATTAATGGGGAGAGACAGGCTGGGCTGAGCAACCATATCCACTGGTGTATGTATGAGCCCGAGCAAGTGCAGGCTGGTGGGGCTTTGCCACAGCATCCGGTAGCAAGTGTCAAGACAGGAGACAGTTCCTGTCACTCTGGACTGCAGTACCACTTGAAAATTATCACTTCTGGAGCTGGGAATCGGCCTGGCAGACAGATTGTAGAAAGCCCTCAGATAGCCTGCAGCTCCCTTCAGTGACCATGAAAACCAGTGCGAGGACAGGCCTGGTTGGACAGGCAGTAGCACCTGCTGGCATAGTTGTGGGCTGGAGAGTTGTGGGGTCAGTTTTGCTGAAGTAGGCTGCAACACCCATTAATCTGTATGAGAGTTAAATGCAATGTGGAACCATCTGGACCAGTCTGTTGCACGTATTAGCATGTGTGGGGACACAGGCTGGGTGCAGGTCTGCTGAGGGCTGCTGAGGGTTGCTTGGACTAGACTGCAGTTCCTGCTGATGTGTGTGAGGACCGAGTGTGTGGTGTGCAAGGTTGGGCTGGGCTGCAGCATCCATTGGTTTGTGTATGAGATGGGGCTGAGGACAGAACTGACTGGGCAATGGCAGCCACCAGTGTGTGGGTAGACTGATGTAGGTGATGGGCTATGCTGGGACTGTTTCCAGCCACAGATCTTGTGTGTGACTGGTTGTGGGGAACGGGGTGCTAAAGCCTATCCTGGGATTTGGAAGGGCTGTTGTAAGATGGCGGCTTGCCCAGGGCCAGGAGGTGGAGTTGGTCTCGACAGCAGGTAAACAGGAAGTCACAGGGATAGGCTAATGCCCTTGCTGTGATTATGTCATTGCTACTGGCCTATTTCATAGCACCAAGTGGACCCATGGGGAGAAGTGATTGGTGGTGAATGATATAAAAGTAGCCATTGTAAAAGCTGGGACAAACAGCGTACGGACGAGAAGGACGGACAGACAGATGGACAGATGGACGGACGGATGACGATGACAAGAAAGACAGGACGGAGAGAAGAAGGACGGGCAGGAAGAAGGGTGGCAGTGAAAGGGCTGGAAAAGCAGTAGAGAAGAGTGAGACCTAAGTTCAGGGACAAGAATGGAGAAATGCAGCAGAAAACAGGGACAAGAACGAAGAAGGGTGGCGGAGAGAGGGCTGGAGAAGCAGCAGAGGAAAGCTAAGGCCAATCGGGAATGGGGCAGCGGAGAAAAGGGTTTAAATGTGGCCGCTTTTGGCAATGAGGGATCCAGTTGCGGTTCCAGCTTTTCCCAGACACTCAAGAGTGTGCCTTATCTTTTTAGTGTTGCTGCTGGGTGGTGACAACTGGTGACATTTCTTTGGGGAGTGCACACACACACACACACTGAACTCAAAGCTACAAGTTGGGGAAAAATCACAGGACCCGTAATCTGACCATGCAATGCATTTGTCAGTCCTGGGCCTCCTTAGTTGCTGAAACCTGAGACATGGACAGCATGCCGAGATCCCATAGGGGACCTGCCAAATCCTTGAGGCCTGCAGAGGATAATGGCAAAACAAAGTGGACAACTCTCTAGGTCAAGCTTTGGCATCAAGTGTCTGAGTGAGCAGAGACTGTAGGGTGGTCTATGTCAGTCAAAGGATCTTGTAAGTAATTCCTCAACCTTGGAGTAATGAAATCCACAGTATCTCACAACTACCAAAACCACTTAAGCAGTACCCTTGGAGCATGCTCCACACTGGCATCCTAGGATGACATCAAGTGGCCTCCCCCATCCACAGGTACTGATGCAGGTAGGCTGCTGGGAGCAGTCCCCTCCCCTTCTCTCCCCACTTCCCACAGGCACAGAAGTACAAAAAGAAATTGGAAGCAATTGTCCCATCCATTTTCCCCATTTCTCAATCCTCCCGACTCTAATCAGTGGTCAGTCGTCCATATGGCTGTACATGCTTCTCAACTATGCAACTATGGTCAAAACTAAACTGAATTTGTTTTAAAAAGTACTGTCTCTGGTCACATAGATACGAAGTATTTCTTCCAAATCTTTCTATTGAATGTCGATGGAAGCATATAAAAACTCCCTTTACCTTTCTGTGAACCTTCTGTCTCAGTCTCTAATATATACATACACACAACGCAAATCTGAAGTGTGTATATTGATATATAAACACATGAAGCAGCAATCTCGGGTTTGGGGAAATCTGCAAAGGAGAGGAAATGGCTGCACCCACCTGTGCTCCATGTTTGCTGAAGCACTACTCAATGGATAGGACTGGCAATAACTTAGGTGTCTGTCAAAGATGAGTTAACAAGGAGTCAGTGGCATGCGTAAGAGTCAAACGTGGTTTGTCTTTCAACAAGAAGGGAACCCTGTCATTTGCAGCAACCTGGATGAGCTTGCACAGACTAGTGCTAAGTTAAACAACCTGGGAGCCTAAAGGGAAAATGGCATGATATCAATTGCACATGACATCTTATAAAGGAGCCAGTGACATTGAGACATTGACAAGGGTTTCCAGAATCAGCTGGGATGGGGAGGAAACTGGATGATGAAGATCAAAAGGTAGTTTAGCAAGTATACATGGAAAACAAGAAAGAATCCATGATGCACACCTGGATCTCTACAGCTGGAAATAGCACATTGCATCCAGAGTTTATTAGAATTGAATATATTACAGCTGTTATCAATATAGGGCAGAGGCAAATAAACAGCCATGTGAGCTCATGGAAATGCTTATTTTCTTTTAGGGATGGAGATCTTTTTCTGCCTTGCAATGTGGATGTTTATGACACCATTTCAGGCCATACGAGATACCATGTTATGAGTTAGCTCGACATAGATCTATGGAGTATCGTGTCCTGCTTGTGGAAACCTGGCCAGGGCAGACTAACTGATTTCATACACATTGTGTTACCCTCAGCCACACATTCCACACACCTGCCACATAATGACAATTTTGAGATTCATGGATCGCCTTGATTTCCTGCCTTATATACACCTACTGGAATTATCTGAAGCAAAAGCAAAGGAGCAACTGAAACCTCAGGATATTTAAATAGCTACATTTGTGAAAGACATGAGTGTGAACTGATGTTTGCATGGCTTAGTATGAAATCTGTAGGTGATAGAAAACTAAGTGCAAGTTCATTAATTGTAAAACTCCCGTTTAGTACCAAGCATGAGTGATCTTGCTGGGACACAGAATATTCATATGGTGCAAGATGGTGAGTTTCTTCAAATCACTAAGAAGAATTTTAGGTGGTACAGGATGCTGTGTATCAGCTTTCCTTGTCCATAGGGCTGTTTCTGGATGAGCGAGACCTGGGGATGGTGCCCCCATGGAGTGGAGGCAACCTATTCGAGTAGTCCAGGCATGGAAATCATGCATTTGTTCCTCACAGCTCACAGAATTGAAAGAAACTGGGAGGGGTGACCCTAAACATTGCATACATCCATGTCCTCATAAACCCCCCTATATGCAGCAGATTTGGAATTGAGCTCTGTGGAAGCTGTCATGTACCACCCAAGTGGGAACTCTAGTCTTCAGAGATAAGTGTGCAGTTCAAAGCATCAGCTGACTGCAGTGAAAGTTAAGCCCCATGAACACTTGCCATGAAAGTCAGAAAGCTTCACACACAAATTCAAGTAGAACACTAGATCCTTCATAAGAGCACCTTTGTGCTTTCTCCCCTAATCCTTCACTCACCTCCTTGCACTTTGCTCCTCATAGGCAATTTACTGTAAACTTCACGGCTGGACTATTAGGGTGCAGCTTAGGTTTCACAAATGCATCACTCACTCTTACATGTGGACACGCCGAACTCACAGGCATATGCATGCATGCACACCCTGAGGATTAAGTCATCCCATTCCTGACTGTATCAGGGTCTGTAATTATTTGCAAGAACTTGGACAACCAGTATGTGCTGGGCATGGGACACACTGAGCGGCGCCTTGTTAGGACTCTGGCTTCCCTTCAAATTGTCCATGGCTGTTGCCAGGGGAGATGGTTACCATGCAGCCACCAGGCTGAGCATAATCCTGTCCTCAACATAGACCTAGGTACCAAACACACGAGGCTGATGGAGCACCAGGCCTCCTCTCTCCTTCCTGTTGCAGTGGTCCTCAGGAAACCACCACGTGCCCATCTCCTTCAGCCTATGAGAGCTTGGTCACAACGTCCAGGGACGAACCCTCTGGAGTGCCAGCATGACACTGCACACACACCAGGAAATGGGAAGGTTTGCATACATCATGTCTTACTAATCTGCAGAAAATACGGGTACGACAGAAATGCAACTCGACTCCCACAGGCAAGAGGAGCTTGTCAGTGATGACATCATGGCTTCCCACACCCATAGTGACTGCACCATTGGGAAGGCCTTAGGAATACGGCTTGGGTGCTGTTCTGGAGCATGTGCTCAGAAGGTAGTGGGTGTCTGGTGGGTTTCATTTGTCATCTGGAGTCTTGTCTTGTAAGTGTGTTCTGGGGTGGTACAAACCAGCAGTCCAGCCATCCACTGCCAACTGAGGTTCTGGTGTACAGCATCACATTGCCCTTCCTGTGTGTGGTCCTGACAGCTCTACCCAGAACTAAATCTAAGCCTGTGTGCAGGGTGGGCTTTGTGGTCCCATGAGTATGCAGTATATTGCAGATTCCAACCTCATATCTCCATCTCATTCCACTGTTCATATGGGAGATTGAATGCATCATCTCCATGTCTCTGGAATGCTTCTCCATGTCTCTGGAATGCTTACATTTGTTCCTTCCATACCTTTAAGCTTAGTTTCATTAAGACGTTTCATGGGCCATTTTTATGTTCTTTTATTTGTTAGATTGATATTGCCACTGAGTGCCTTGAGTTGTTCTCATGTTTGAGTTTTGAATTTTTGCTGCAGCTTATGGAAACTGGCTTATTGCTTCTTCAGTTTGGAAATTTGGTCTTAACAGGGGTCCTCAGAGTTGGCCTGGGGTGATGTCGGGTGGCTGTCCTTAATCCCAGGGTGCAAAGGCATTTGGAAGGCTTGATGTGACTTCTCTCCTTGTCTCCCCCTACCCCAGATACAGGAAGGAAAAAAAGACAATGTGGAAATGGTGATCTCACCAACCCTCCTGTAGCCGTTGACCCTTAACACCCTAATCAGCTATGTAAAAATCATCAAAATAAAAATAACTAATATAAAAATTAAGTAATAAAATATTTAAGAAAAATTTAAACAAAGAAACCTCACCAGAGATGACCCCAGACGCGATGTCTCAAATTACCAGGAAGTACGGGATACAGCATAGCCCATCACCTACATCAGACTACCCACACACAAGAGAAAGCTGTTGCGGTCTCTTGTGTACTGAATTTACTTTCATTACATTAAATTTCAGTTTCCTACTATCTCAGGCAAAATGCTATGTGTTCCATGATGGGTTAATCATCACCATCATCATGAACAACAACAAAAGCTAGATTCTAAAATGTGATACACTCAAAGATTTAGAGAGTTTAACAAAGCAAAACCCAGACCCTAAAGTATGCTGTGTTATGGAGCTACCTACTGGCCTAGTACAGGAGCTACAGCAACAATAGATACCATCAAATTTTGCTGTTGATGAAAGATGAAAGATGCCATGGACAAAAACAATTGGGCATAAAGCAAATTGTGGGTTCATAGAGAAGTTAATTGCAAGTATCAAAGCAGTGAAATGTATATTATCATGCTGCTGCTTTTGGAAGCCAATTCATTACCTAAAATTCTGACTTGAGGAAAGTCAGCAGGCTCTGTATAAATCAATCCAATTCGGAGTACAAAGATCAAAAAATTAAATTATAATTTCAAAGGATTTATGACAAGTTCCTTCCTTCTTTCTGCAACTCTCCAGCTCATGTTTGCTAATAAATCAATGGCCTCTGCTACAGTGGGTTCAGGGACCTCAAGAGGCAGTGAGTTTCTCATTGTCCACACCAAAATAATTGTACTCAATTTGTTTTATTGAAGGCAAAGTTGAAGTTTTCAAGGGACCATGCCCTTTACAGCCCTCAGGAATAAGAGTGGACAGGAAATACTTAAGTATTGTCATTACAGTGATGTTTCAATTGGGTTGATTGCAAATGCTCTCCACAGATACTGCTTCTGATCACTCTCCACGATGTCCACACTGACAACATCGTGGACTTGAGGCACATATCCCTTAGGGCATATCAGAGAATCCAGAGTAAAATAGTAATTGTGATCTATCACCCCATGTCTTCCATTCACACTGGTAACACGGGCCTGCAGAGAGAAAGGAAAGAAACTATCAGAACCACACCATATTGCAACCTTGCTTGCACTTGCTCACTCCGGCTCTTTCCAGGAAGTCTCTCCATCCCCATCAGAATTCCCATTCTCGCTGGCACCCTATCATTGCCAGGGATGCTCTGGAAACACAAGTGGGACCAACCTCACTTCTTCACGGGTAATTCAGGACCTCTGGGTAAAGCACCCAGGACTGCCCTGAGAGACTCCGCTCTCACTGTTTCTCACTGTGTACATTGATCACAATTTTAGGAACTTTCTACTGCTTTCCAGCTACACTCCTCAAATCACATAGAGCACTCTGTGTGGACAGAAGAGACAGACTACTACATTCAACTTTTCACAACAAAATTCTCACACACAAATTACACTTCCTAGTGTTTCTCTTGAAACATTTTACTAGCCTCTGAACAGTATGTGAACTACACAGCAAAGTTTGCTAATCGCATAGAAGGTATACATGATTCTATGAGTTTTGCATTTACTTCTTGAAGTTGTTATTCTCAAAAGGAGACTAAACTATACTTTTAAAACAGTAGAATGTTCAAATATCACAGCACACAAACTAGAAAGCAGAGAATGAAATTATCACCAGAGGAAACACGGACAGTAAGGATCGTCAAGTGCAGAATGCAAACAATTTACCTCTTTGACATGATTACGCATAATAGGCTTCACTGAGTGTGTCTTCATTTTCGAGGTGCCTGGTTGAATTGAATACTCAACCTCCAACCAGTCTCCCTTATAAGGCACAAATCCTACAAGAGTTATGGAGATACATCAGATACATCATCTCTTACTGAAATCACAATGGACTCACCTGCTTGTTTTATCAGTGCCCTAACGTTGCGAAGGAGCTTGCAAACGTTCTGCCTAGATTACATTGCAGACTTTGGACGGACACCTTTGCAACCTTTCACTTACAAGCACCATTATCATGCCTTGCATCCCCTTTGTGCTGCACTGACTTAATAAATTCAATTTGGGAAAACAGTGAGAAGAGAACACTACAGTTCAGTTCGTAGCCACATTTGGATACCATCCGGAGTCTATTAAACAAATGAATGACCACGTTGCCAACCATTTCAAAGAGGCAGTTAACTACAAAGGTGTGAGCATGTGCTTGAAATTGGCTTTCTGTGTTAAAGAGTGTGCAGCTGTAACCTTCGCCGTTTGGAATCTCAAACTGCTGATCCTCTTGGGCTCTCAGTTTCTCTTTCACTGCATTTGGCTCTGCTGCTTCTTCCACATTTCATTTCACAGCTCCCTCCTTCCCAAGGCTCAATGCAAATACATGACAATTACTTGTCCCTCTCAGTTCTTTCAAACAAGCCTGTTCATCAGCCATCACTTTCAGCTCGAACCTAACCTCTTCCAATTCTAATGCCGCTCTGGACAGCATTTTTTTTAAAGATTTATTTTTATTTTTTTTTTTATTGGAAAGGCGGATATACAGAGAGGAGAGACAGAGAGGAAGATCTTCCGTCCCATGATTCACTCCCCAAGTGAGCGCAACGGGCCGATGCTATGCCGATCCGAAGCCAGGAGCCTCTTCCGGGTCTCCCACGCGGGTGCAGGGTCCCAAAGCTTTGAGCCGTCCTTGTCTGCTTTCCCGGGCCACAGGCAGGGAGCTGGAAGGGAAGCGGGGCTGCCGGGATTGAACCGGCGCCCATATGGGATCCCGGGCGTGCAAGGCGAGGACCTTTAACCACTTGCGCCACAGCGCCGGGCCCTCCTCTGGACAGCATTTTACAACGTCCTCCTCCTAACCACTTTCTTGACCCCATCCTTGTGGGACACATTGTCTTCTCAACCAAAGAGACACTGTGAAGTTTGTACAACAAAGCCAAAGCCTGAATCCTGCTTAGAAATCTGAGAGTAGGCAAATGCAAGGCTATTGTCATTTGGGAGCTGAACCAACAAATGGAAAATCCTTCTCTCCCCATAACTTTGCTTTTCATTTTTTAAAAAAAAAATAAGGGAAGTTTGCTTTCCAGGATCCAGAAAACTCGTTTCAGAGACCAGAGCCAGTGGAGTGAGCTTGGGAGTTTGAGCATGTGCTTGGATTTCAAAAACCCTGGTGAGCAGGCAAATGGGGATGGTGGAAACGTAGGGTCCCTAATTGGCACCCTGGCATGCTTTGCTTCTGAACCAGGTTTGGGGAATCTTGAACATGCTTGGGTCTTGGGATCTGGCAAGGTCCCTATGTTGGCACACTTAAGTGGGCATATGAACCCATGCATACGCTTGATTCTTGAGAGGGAGGAGGATCAGGGTCCCAGACTAGCATTCTTGCTGATAAACTAGGTCTTGAGATCTGTGCATGTGCTTGCATCCTAGGCTGGCAGGCAGGGTTCCAGGCCAACACACACCTCCCCACCACCACCAAATGACTGGGCTGGGGAACCCATACCCTTGCAGGCATGAGGCTGTGAATTGCTCAGTGAAAAGGATATGGGATGTGTGGGAAGGGAGACTTCAGATAAGGAATGACTTCTGGGGGACTCCTCTGACAAGACTACTGTACCCACAGGAAAGCAAGGGGACTGAGATTGAAAAGTTTAGAAAAGGAAAACTGAAGGAACTTTCTGGTTCACATCAATACACCCACTCACATGGGAGACCTGAGCTTGGCTAGTTAGCATTAACCACCACTGACAATCATCCACTACTAAAACTAAGTACACTAAAACTAAGGCTGGGGGTATCCCTGGCAGGACTAGAAAACTGTAACCGCCAGGGAGTGTCAGAAGAAGGGATGTGTCATGTTAGACTGGGACGTGAGAGAACCAGAGATGAGAGCACATGAGAGAACCAGATATCATGGTAGAATCTGTGTGAGATAGGTGGGTTCACACCTGGGACTGCAATATCTCTTGGTTTACTCAAAAGCTGGAGGTGCAGGAGTTGGTAGGCCAAATTGAGCACGATCACGGAACACACTGACACTCATTGGTACTCTGATTGGGAACAGCCTGGGCTGATCCAGGCTGCAACACCCAGAGGGACACAGAAGAATTGGGTGTAGGGCTGGCCGAGCCACAGCATTCACCAGCACACAAAAAGATTGGGGCAAACTATGCCAGATAATGGCCAAGCACCCGCAAGCATGTATGAGATCCTGGTCTGTAGTGAGCCTGGTTGGGGAACTTGGGGAACTCCTCTAATGGACATTATCTCTCACTGGTAAGCCCATAAACTCAGGGCTGGTTGTTGGTAATGCCAGGCATGGTTGCTCCACTTGTCAGCAGGTGTGTGGGTTGGCTGTATGGGAACCCACCAGGTAAATATTGGCCAAACCAGAGCACACTGACATGAACAGCAGCCAGAATGAGATGCAGGCCATGTAAGGCTAGGGTATCACACTACTTATTTGCATGATAGCCAGGGATGGGAGCAGGCTGGGCAGGGCTTGACTAAGCACCCACCAGTGAGAATTGGGACTAGAGGTGAACTTAGCCAGTCCAGGCTGAAGCATCTGAAGACAAAGGCCTAGACTGGGTATAAGCTATGCCAAGCTGAATCACAGCAACCACTGGCACATGCAAAATCTGTGTCTTGGAGCACAGGCCTGGTCGAGGAGCTAATGGGATGCACTGGATGGGCTCAGGTTCATACTAGTGAGTGCAGCTTCCCTCAGCATGGATGTGGACTGGGTCTTCGGGATGCCAAACTGGGCTAGACCTCAGACATGTTGGTGTTCAAAGAAGCCAGAGCAGGTATAGGACAGGTTGGGCTAAGTCTCAGCACCACTGAACCACACAGAAGCAGGGTCAGTGTTGGGCCAAGTGGGGCTTGGCTGTAGCACCCAACAGTAAGAAGTGGAATAGGTGTGGGTTGGTCAGACAAGACTGTAATACCTGCCAGGACAGGAGGTGAGCCAAGTCAGGCTGGTGAGTATAAGATTTGTAACACAGAGGTAACCTAATAGAAGAGCTTAGGGAACTCCTCTGTCAGAGTACAGTCCCTGCAGGTGAATGCAGAAACTGAGGCAGGGAGCAGCCCACACCAGACCAGGTGACAGTAGTAGCTGGCATCGGTGTGGCTCAGGTCTGGAGGTATGCTGAGCAGGATCAGTTCATTGGAAGCAACTGTCTCACCCAATTTCCCGCCATTCCCCAACCCTCCTGACCCTAATCAGTGGTCAGTGGTACATATGGGTGTACATCCTCAACTATGTAAACATCATCAAAAACACAATAAATAAATTTGTTATAATAAAAAATTGTTAAGATATTTTAAAAAATAAATTAAATGGCTTGAATGATGGAGAGGCATATTTAGATATTTAGTAACTGCATCCACACTTAAGAAATAATAATGGGACATACCTAGATACTACATAAGTGCCCTCAGTTCATATATCATTTAGAATTCCACGTGTGCTGGTAAATTCTTCAGGAGCCACATTCTGGAACCTGTATGCTGTATACAGTGTTCTAGTGCTAGGATCATATCAGAAAATAAAGACTCACTTTCCCAAAAACATGGAAATCATACCTTCAGAAATAACATCCAGGGGGAAGTTAATTCTTTCACTCATATAGACAGAACCTCTCCATATAGCAATCACAATATCAGCTAAAATGACGGTATCCCTGTCGGATGCTCTAGCGGCAGGAGTGTCACCAGAGAAGTCAGCCACCTGTAAGATAAGTAGACATTTTCTTCTACCATAACAAAAAGTTTAAAAGGGAATCTGATATGATTACAAGATTCATGTTCAAGAAACTAGAGAATTCATCATAAATCACAGAAGTGCAATGATGAGTCAAAAACAGTAATTGAGCTTTCTATATAGTTAAATTACTTGTGAAAATGCTAATTGTTTATCCAATGTTCAGCACTTGTTACATGAGGTTCATTGATAAAATGTTATTCTGCTATAGAAATTCGATATCATATACAAAGAAAAACAAAAAATTTAAAGATTGTGGAGATGATCTTGCCAAATCTTCCGAGTGACAAATTGTTTAATGGGGAGAAAATAGCACCATCAAATAGGAAAGACTGAGTTTTAGGCTGGACTGTCAAATGAGAGAATGAGTGCTGCGTTGAATGACAGTGTAGGTGCAGGAACATGAGACAGAGAGCAGAAATAAACAATAGATACTATAGACAGGTAAACTATGAGAATTGGGCTAATAAAGCACATAACGAATCCAGTACATTAACCTGCTAAAAAAGTATTTGAAAATGAAGAGCAAAGTGGCAGAGACATCAAATTATGGTGTATTCAATCGATGACAAAGGGGTCATTGAACCATTTTGCAACCACGATAATCTGCATTTAAAATTTCTGAAGCACAAAAATAATGGCGGAAGAAATACAAAAAACAAAGTTCCTTATCATAAGGCATAATTCCATTAGCTATAAGCAACTAATTTATGTTTCAGCTCTTTTTTGTGCAAAAAACTTAATTATCACCATCAAGGCATCATATAAATACTACTACAAAACCAGATAAGAAATATTAAATTTCATAAAGTGCATTACTACAAACATTATGAAAGCAGAAACTATACATCGGGTGTGAGGCTTCAATGTGACATTGTATCCCCCATGCAGGTCACTTTAGGTAGGAGGATTAATAAAGCATAACACCGGAATAAGAGACTCTACCAAATTCTATCTTACCGGGAAGGATCCCGACACTTCAGACACTTTAACTTCTTCCAAATCAATAATAGCACTCTGTGCACCTCTCAGTGCGGTGGTGCTTGTCTCAAAACTACCGGAGCCGAGGGACTCAT